AATGCCTTCAAGTTGATTCTTACTCATAGCAAGCAACCCTATAGAACAGACTAGAACCACCCCCACAGGGTTTCTGAGGCTATCTATCTTTATGGGAGAAGAAAGATCTCATCTTTCTTCTGAGGAGCAGTTCATGAGTTCTAATTGCTGACCTTTGGTTAGCAACCAAAAGCTTAACCCACAGGTCCACCAAAAAAGCCCAACTCCATTGCTATCAACTCAATTCTGACTCATACTGACCCTGTATAAGTTTTCCAAGACTGTAAAATTTTATTGGAGTAGAAAACCTCATCTTTTTCCCATGGAGCAGCTGATGGGTTGAACTGCTGACCTTACAGTTAACAGTCCAATGTTTATCCTACATAATACCACCAGAGCTAAATGAAATAATACATGCCAAATTTTACCCAAAATTTACCTGACTTATGGTAAGTGGCTAATAAATGGTAGTAACTGACTAACTGAAATGTTTCAAGAAACTGATGCAGCACTAGAGGCATTTACTCATCTATGCCACGAAATCTGGAAGACAGCTACGTAGCCAACCCATTGGAATTGATCTATATTTGTACCTATTCCAAAGAAAGGTGACCCAAGGGAGGGGTAGAGGATGGGTTTCTAGGATATACCCTTTGGTCGGAAGATGATCCATGGAGGGGACTGGAACCATGGCAATGAAATGATACATGATGGAATGAATGTAAAACTAAAGTTCTCTCATGTAAACTATCATACAATTCACAATAAAACATTAAAAAAAAAGAATAAATATAGCATAGAGTAATTCATAAAAAAATAAAATAAAATAAAAAAGGTGACCCAACAGAATGTGGTTATCATTGAACAATATCAGTAATAGCACATGCAAGTAAATAAAACTTTGCTGAAGATAAAAAACAGTTGCGGCAGTACATTGATAGGTAGCTGCCAGAAATTCAAGCCAGATCCAGAAAAGGATGTAGAATGATCTATGTCATTGCTGACGTCAGATGGATCTTGCTGAAAGCAGAAAATACCAGAAAGATGTTCGCTTGTGCTTTATTGACTATGCAAAAGCATCTGATATGTGGAGCATGACAAACTATGATAACATTAGGGAAAATGGTGATTCTAGAACACTTCACTGTGTTCATGAGGAACCTCTACATAGACTAAGAGTCATTCAAACAATCACTGGAAGGGAGATCTGCAGAATGTGACAGAGACATTAGTGTAGTCCAAGAAGGTGTCAGTGAAGGCCACCTCACCTCGCAGAGAGACATTCTGAGCTCGTCTGGGAGTGTGTGCAGGAATTGGGAGGTGGGTGGAGAAGGTAGGGAAAAGACATCACTGCCAGAGAGAACAGCAGGAACCAAGGCACAGAGGTGTGAAAGCAGGCAGTACATTCATAAAACAGCACAAAGAGAAGCCATCTTGAAGACTCTCAATCAGGAAAACTGCTATTCAGAAATATGGTCTGGTAGGAGGGCGGAAGTTGAGAAAGTAGGGCAGACAATAGCTAGAGAAGGATTGATAAGGAGAAGCTGTAATTGAGAGATTGTTGTTTGTTAAGTGCCGTGGAATCGGTTCTGATTCATAGTGACTCTTTGTAGGGTTTCTAAGGAACAACTGGTAGATTTGAACTGCTGACTTTGTGGGTCAAACCAACCTGAGGGTTCAGTGCTTATCCTACATTGCCACATCAGACTCCCAACTGAGAGGCAGCAATATCCAATAATACAACCACTGAAGTGTGGAAGAATCCAAGAAAGTTCCCAGGTCTCTGATTTAGGCTGCAACTGTTGTTATTGTTATGTGCTGTGGAGTCGGTTCTGACTCATAGTGACCCTGTATAGGGTTTCTGAGGCTGTAAATCTTTACAGGAGCAGAAAGCCTCATCTTTCTCCTGCAGAACAGCTGGAAGTTTTGAACTGCTGACCTTGAGATTAGCAGCCCAATTCGTAACCACTATGCTATCAGAGTTGCTTGTTGTTGTTGTTGTTGTTGTGCTCTGTGGAGTCAGTTCCGACTCATAGTGACCCAGTACAGGGTTTCCAAGGCTGTACATCTTTATGGGAGCAGAATGCCTCATCTTTCTCCCACGGAACCGCTGGTAGTTGTGAACTGCTGACATTATGGTTGGCAGCCCGACTCATAACCACTACGCTACCAGAGCTCCTAGGACTCCACTAGAGAGATACAAATCAAAACAACAATGATTACATAACTTCAGCATTCATTGCTGTTATTGTTGTGAAGTGCCCCTGAGTCAGTTCCAACCCACAGCAACCCTGTATAGGGTTTCCAAGGAGCAACTGGTGAGCTTGAACTGCCGACTTTGTGGTTCAAACCGACTTGGCAGTCCAATGCATTAACCCGCGCACCACACCAGGACTTCTCAGCATTAATAGCAAAGTTTAAAAACAAAACAATAACAAAAAAAACCCATGGAAAACAACAAATGCTGGTGGGACTGTGGAAAATGGAATGGCACTCTCTCAAAAAGTTGGAAATAGAAATACCATATGATCCAGCAATCCCTCTACTTGGTATACATCCACAAGACATGAATAGATATGTGCACACCATGGTCCCTTGCAGTACTGTTCACAATATGGAATATGGAAATAGCATAAAAGGCCATCAACAGAAGTCGGGTTAAACAAACTTTGGTACATACACACAATGGGATATTCCCCAGTGATGAAGAGTAAGGATGAATCTGCAAAACACCTCATAACATGGGTGAACCTGAAGGACACTATGCTAATTGAAGTTAGTCAATCGCAAAAGGGCAAATATTGTCTGGAACGCAGTCGCTCCTTGGAAACCCTATGCAGGGGTCGCTATAAGTCAAACTGACTCAATGGTACTTAATAACAAAATAAACTTGTAAAAAGTCAAGAAAAGGTTTTTAGGGGTGGGAGAGAAGGGTATATAATTCACTGGCTGGAGCAGGGATGGGGGCCTTCTTCCTGCCAAAATTTATAATATTTGCAAGACATATAAAATTATCAACTTAAAAATTAGCCTGCTATATTTGGTCAAACATTTAATAAAGTCACCCCAGCTGTTTCGCAGGAGAAAGATGAGGCGTTCTGCTCCCGTAAAGACTTACAACCTCAGAAACCCTGTGCAGGGTCACTATGAGTCAGAACCAACTCCACGGTACTTAAGAACAACACCTAAAACAACAAAAAAGTGATGGCTAAGGAACTCCGGTAGCGTAGTGGTTACAAATTGGGCTGCGAACCACAAGGTCAGCAGTTTGAAACAACCAGCTGTTCCGTGGGAGAAAGATGAGGCTTTCTGCTCCCGTAAAGATTTACAGCCTTGGAAACCCTGTACAGGGTCATTAAGAGTTGGAACCGACTCCACAGCACATAACAACAACAACAACAACAACAACAAAATGATGGCTAGAACTGCGGATGCCTTGGCAGGGCCAGACCAAATGATTTCGAGGGTCTTATATGGCTTGCAAGTCAGATGTTCCCTACTCCTGGGCTAGAGGGTTGTTGTTGTTAAGTGCTGTCTAGTCGGTTCTGACTCATAGCAACTCTGTATCGAGTTTCTGAGGAGTGGCTGGTGAGTTTGAACTGCCGGCCTTGCAGTTCAAACTGACCTTGCAGTCGAGTGCTTATCCTAAGATCTCCATACTTTGGATGACAAGGAAGGCAGTTATGAAAATAATGTCCCTGAATCGTACATGTAAATGTTAAAATGTCATCCTTGTTGTTACATATACACTCATCACACATACAAAAAAGGCCTAATTTCTTTGCCAAGATTTATATTCAAGTCAAGGTAAGTACATGAAAAATTGGAGCCATGGTTGTTTGCACCTCTGAGCAAGAGCAGCAATCAAGGCAAATATTTGATTTGGGTTGCTGAACCTAGATGTGTGGACAGTTTAATGTCCTAGCAATCTGTTTCCAGTGCATTAGCAGTCATATTACAAACAACAAATAAGAGCCTTTCTTATTTAAAATGTGTCCCATATTGGGGGGGGGCAGAGAAAGAGAAAGAAAACAATAATTTTCTGGGTATCAGGGACCCCTCTTCCTCTGAAGCAGGAGCACAGTAAGCACAAGTGTGCTGGTTGAGGAGTACTCACTGCGACAGGCTCTGATATCGACAGTGCGGATCCTGAGAGTGAGGTGGCCAGTGGTATAGTCCGTATGCAGAACTGGATTAGAAATACTGAAAGGGCCATTATGGAACACTCAGTTCTATAGGCTAGAAATCCTAAGCATTTGATGAAGTAGGCAGTATCGCTATTTGACATTTTCCTGAGATTGCTCAGGGGTCTGGGTACCAGTGCAGTGAAAACAGCTGATTTAATTAACAATGGAAAACCAGAAATGGGCAGGTGAGAGGAAACAGAAAGGGCAAGGGAGCTGGGAAGAGTAGCGGAGAATTGCCAAACCCCCAAATCTCCAAGCTAGAATCCAAATCTCTCTCTTCTGTGAGGACTCTGGACAACCAGAGCCCCTCTCTCCACCACTGACAGCTGAGGGCTTTACACAGAGGCCAAGGAGTTGGTTCTTATGTTGACCAAACAGTCAGTGAGGGGCTCTCAGGTAAACCAGAACAAAACATTTTGTATTGTGACTGGGTTGCCTAGAGCTGAAGCTCAAAAGAGAGGAAGCTGCAGACAGAGAATGGGGAGGAATGGATTTCAGGAACACGTTGGTTAATCTGTGAACTTGACCATTGGGGTGAAATGGGCCTGTGCAAGCAACTCATAAGAAATGAGCAATATATTTATAGTCTTGGGAGTAAAGGTGCTGGGTGAGACACCCCTGATATCTCAGGGGTCCTTGCTGTTAGTGTGGCTACAAGCAGTTCTCAAGGCAAAACTTAAAGAGCCTTAAAATAGGATTGACTTACAATGGTTCAATTTGGGGAATTAGATCATATTTAAGTCCACTGGGATTTGTGATTATTGTAAGATTTGTAAATTCTACTTTAATCGGTTTTAGTTTCCTTTATTAATTTTCATACAGAGACTGAAAGTTTGATATAAGTATGAATTTATTGACATCAATTTCTTAGCTATTATTCTAACACAGGATGACTGAAGAGCTGAAGACAATGGTAATAAATCCACAAGATCTGAAATTTGCAAGACTCACTCTCTCTCCACCTGAGAGAGAGAATGAGGAAGAGAGAGAAAGAGATAATGAGGGAGTCTTTGAAAAGAATCTGGAGACTGCTTTCAATTATAGCCACAGGTAATAGGCAATGACAATTTGACAATGTAAGTCTTTTATCCAGAAACATATCTATTCCATACATACCAAATTGATTACCATATAATTGAGTCTTGAAAATATACAAAAGAGTTGTTGTTCTTACATATGGAAATTAAAACCTAATTTTAAAAAGTGCACAGTAAAAACAGTTTAAGGAAACCTATAATATCCATGGAATATGTACTATTTTCCATTTTACTGTCAACATCAAACTCTATATTTGCCTCACTGGTCACAAATATATTTTAAATGTTTCAAAGCCATGTACAACACTGACTAGTGCACTGGGTCCAACCACACTTCAGCTTCCTGAATGCGGAGCCCGGTGTGGACGTGGAGTCTCGGCCCCACAAATCTGGGCAGCGCGGCAGCAGCTCCAGGAGGAACATCACCAACCAGCCTTCTGTAAACTATCGATTCTTATTCTTTTTAGAATTTCCCTGTGTAAAGAAATACGTCAACAATAAGAACACAAACTTTCAGAAAAAATAGTTCTCATAATTTATAAACCCAGCAATCCAGAAACCATATTTTATTTTGAAGCACCTTTGCTTGCAAGAGGGAGAAAAGCTGATAAACTCACAGGCTTGACTTTTATTCAATAATCACACAGCAGATGGTTACTGTTAACTCTCCCCAAGCTCTACTTTCATGGACCCTGTCCCCCTGGGGGCTGAGGGTAGGTGATCAAGAAAGAAAAGATACTGTCTTAGAATTATCAAAACCTCCAACGGTTCATTTTGTTCCCAAGACAAGGGAGCTTAAAACTACATGAAGTTACATTTTAAAATTTAGCTTAAACATGTTTTTTTGTTGTTCAAGTAGACACCTCTTAAAGATCTTGTTGATGTTGTTAAGTGCTGGTGCTGTTGAGTCGATAGTGACTCACAGCAACCCCATATAGGGTTTCTGAGGAACATCTGGTGAGCTTGAACCACTTGCAGTTCAGGACATTAACCCACAGTGTCACAGGAGCTAACTTTGAATGTGTGCCAACTAACACCTAAGTGGCATTGATAATCAGTCAAAAGTAAGCTTAGATCCTGGAGAACAAATTTGAGGGGCAATATCAACTTCTTCCCAGTCCCCTCACAGATGCAGAATTGTACTTTGCAGTTTTGCAAAACTCTCCTTCTTTCTGAAGTAGTTCACTTCTGAGGAAAACATTCTAATTACATTCTTAAACTTAACTACTAAGTATGAATACATTTCTTCATGTAAATAGGAAATGCTTGTAGAAACAAGCAGTAAGAAAAAGATAACAGCAAACAAATGGTTCAGGATGTTTATTTGGTATCCAATGTAGATATGCCAACACCAACATGGCACTGATGCTAAACAATCTAAATGACAATAAACAAGAGGGGGTAAAGGAGCAAATTACAGGGATCTCAGAATGATCAAAGAAAGATGAACTTATCAATGGTGGTGTGCTGTGGAGTCAGTTCTGACTCATAGTGACCCTGCATAGGGTTTCCAAGGCTGTACTTTTTTTTTTTTTTAGTGAAGGGAAACTTTATCTCATACATGGAAAAACATTTGTGAACGTATCCCATTGAAAGTGAAACCAAAGAGATTAAGTTCATATAAAAGGAACTCTCAGGGATGTTTAACAACATTGTTGTTGTTGTTGTTGTTGTTAAGTGCCGTCGAGTCGGGTCCGACCCATAGCGACCCTGTACAGGGTTTCCGAGGGTGTAAGTCTTTACGGGAGTAGAAAGCCTCATCTTTCTCCCGCGGAGCGGCTGGTAGTTTCGAACCGCTGACCTTAAGGTTCGCAGCCCGATTCGTAACCACTACACTACCAGAGCTCTTTTAACAACATTGGTGTTTCAAAAAATAAAATATTTAAAGTTGACCCAAATTTAGAATTATGACATACTCCAAGACATTGAAAATATGCCCTCTTAAGCACTGAACTGCTAACTGCTAGGTCTGCAGTTCCAACTCAACAACTATTCCTTGGAAACCCTTTGTAGCATCACTATGAGTTGGAACCATTTCAGTGTTACTCAATAACAAAACAAAAAAATAAATTAAGCCTTGTTCAAATTATCTTTGATAAGTCTTTTTACATAGAAATGAAAAAATTTAACTCTCATTGTGTCTAATGTTTTAAGTGTGGCACTACAGGGTCAGTGCAAGGACCCCAAGGTCAGTTTGAACTGCAAAGTCTGTAGTTCAAATCCACCAGCTACTCCTCGGAAACCCTACACAAGGTCGGTATAAGTTAGAATTAACTTGAAGGCGCTTAACAACAACAACAGAAAAAAAAAACCCCACTGGTGTCTTTTCTTTTTTTTTTCCCTATAGGGCAATCCCTGAGTTACCAAAGAGTTCCATTCCTAACTTTCTGTGTCTTTAAAAATGTATAGGTAGCCTGGAACAGGAGAATTGTTGTTGTTGTTAAGTACCATACAGTCTGCCCAGACACTCAGCGACCCTGCACAGGGCCTCCGACACTGCAAATCCCTACAGGATCAGAAAGCCCCATCCCTCTCCGGCAGGATAGCTGGTAGTCTCAAACTGCCAACCTTGATGCCAGCAGCCCTATTCGTAACCACTACACCACCAGAGCTCCTCAGAACAGAAGCACAGGACTATAATTTAGCCTTAGTGCAAAGTCATGGTGTTCTAAGTGGGCCAATGCTCTGCACTGCAAAGTCGGTTCGAACAGTGAATTTGTCAGTTCAAGCTCACCAGCTGTCCCCCGGAAACCCACACAGGGTTGCCACGGGTCGGAACCAGCTCAACGGCACTCAACAACAACATGGGTCGGAACCAACTCAAGGGGACTTAATAAGGCTGTACATTTTTACGGAAGCAGAAAGCCTCATCTTTGTCCCACGGAACGACTGTAGTTTCGAACTACTGACCTTGAGGTTAGAAGCTCAGCTTGTTACCACTGCACTACCAGAGCTCCTTGGAGGGCCTGAAAATTCCCTAACTTTTGAAGTACCATAATCCAATTATTTCAGTACAATAGACTTCACTGTACTCAACATCAAAACCAAAACCAAACCCAATGCAAATGCGTCAATCAGACACATAGTGACCCTATAGGACACAGAAAAATGTCCTCACAGGGTTTACAAGGCTATAGACGTTACTGAAACAAACTGCCACATTGTTCTACTATGGAGTGGCTGGGAGTTCAAACCACTGTGTGGTCAGCAGCCAGGCACTTTAACAGCTGTACCAGTAGGGCTCATGCTCATCATTAACCCTTTTCAAGTCAAAACCAAATTTATCTTTTGCCAGCCTGCAGACTGAAAAGTTTCCCTACAGTCCTTGCTACTTCCTTCACATGTTAAATGTTAACACAGGCTTTCTCACACAGCCACTGAAATAAGTTATGTATGCCATGAGAAAAACCAAAACAGGGCCTCTTCCATATGTGTATTTCCTACTACTACTTCTAGGAATATAATCAATGAATTAGCTACTGCCCTGCTGGAATATCAAGAAGCCAAACGGTTAAAAAAAATAAATAAAGAGGTGTTCTTCAAGGGGACTAACCCACACCCACCACACCACCAAGAACAAGTAGCAAGAGAATGTTATTAGATAGCTATGATCATCACAGAGATATCCTAGAGATGCACCTTCCAAAGTAGCTGGAGGCCAATCGGTATCATGAAACCGTTACTAGGAGAAAACAATTATTAGAGAGCAGATTCCAATGCAGTAACAAGACATATTTCCCAAGAACTCCCTAGCTGTGCAGTTTGCTGCCCTGAACCACCACCAGCAGATGCTGAAGTAAAATTATGGCTTATCCATTTCTATTGTCTTCCCAGTGCCAGCCCTTGGCAAGAACTCAGTAACTGCCTGCTAAACCAGTAAGGGGCTGCAGCAGATCCCCAAGACTGGACACAGTGAACTCAAACTGACAATGCATAGTATTGACTAAGCTACCAAAATGTGCTTGGCACTGAGATGATGTATAGAACCGAATTCCTGCTATTCCCCCTCCACCCCGAACCTAACTTAATTCCATTTTTCCATGAACATGTGAAGTGCCCTTATTCATTAAGTTATAACAATACAGAAATGGTATGTGGATATGGATTTCAATACACAGGAATCTACTGATCCCAGCCTGGACCAGCTGAGGCTTTGTGGGAAACAAAATAAAAGGAAACTTTTGCAGTTATAAGGGCAAGAAATTTCTCCATTATATGGATATTTCTGAGAATACATTTGCTTAAGATTATTCTTCAACAGCACATTTTTAGACTCTCATATAAATAAAGAACAGCTCCTATCCTAAACTCCTTTGGGAGTCACCATAACTCAACAGTAGCAGAAATGCCCAAATTGCCAAAAGCTGTATACATGGTATTAGGGCCTTAGAGGTCATATGTTCTCAACCTATAAGGTTATCTTCCTTTTGAGAAGAGATCAAAGTTGATTTAGAAAAGTCATTTATAAACACTTTAAATGTCTTAACTGTTTGCTCCTGAAATGCAAGGCCTTATGGCCATATTAAATCTTACAGTCAAGAAAGACTACCTCACTTGACCTCATCTCACGTACCTTACTGGACATCTTCAGTGTGTCTATCTCTTCTCTCTGCTTCGACAAGGTCTCGTTCATGCTGCATAAGTGGTCACTCATCATACTTAACTGATCCTCATAACTCCTCTTGGTGGTTGTCAGCTCATCCTAAACAACAAAGGAAAAGAGGGAGACAAACAGAAAGAAAAAAAACAAAACTCGGTCATTCAAACCGTTCTAAACCTTTTTTTGTTGTTGTTAGGTGCCATCGAGTCGGTACCGACTCATAGCGACCTTATGCACAGCAGAACGAAACACTGCCCGGTGCTGGGCCAACCTCACTACTATTGCCACGCTTGAGTCCATCGATGCTGCCACTTGGCCAATCCATCTCGTTGGGGGTTTTCCTTTTTCTCTGACCTCCACCTTACCAAACATGGACATCCTTCTCCAGCGACTGGTCCCTCTGGACAATATGTCCAAAGTATGAGACACGAAGTTTGGCCATCCTGGCCTCCAAGGAGCACTCTGGCTGCACTTCTTCCAAAACGGATCTATTGGTTCTTTTGGCAGCCCATGGCACTTTCAGTATTCTCCTCCAACACCGTAACTCAAATGCATCAATTATTCTACTGTCTTCCTTATTCACTTCTACTTTCGCATGCATATGAGGTTATTGAAAATACCATGGCTTGGGTCAGGTGCACCTTAGTCCTCAAGCTGACATCTTTGCTCTTCACCACTTTAAAAAAAAAAGGTCTTGTGCAGCAGATATGCCTAATGCAATACGTCCTTTGATCTCTTGACTGCTGCTTCCACTTGTTAAAAACATATATATCAGGAAAAGTCTATCAAGATGACCTATCTGATCAACTGACATGAAGACTATGGCAAATATGAGAACAAAGTTAAAGAAAGAGGGAAAAGAGTTATTCTCAGCCTTCAAAATATGTTCTGAATTTCTTTGCAAAAAATGTAAGGGTTTCATTCTATGCCAGTTATGCAACTCACAAAAAACAGAAGAGGATTAAATGATCTTTTAGAACCCCTCTGGTATCCTTGAGCCATTGCTGTTAAGTGCTGTGAAGTGGGTCCTGACTCATAGTGATCCTTAAAGGATTTCCGAGAAGTGACTGGTGGGTTTGAACCACCAACCTTTTGGTTAATAATCTAGTACTTATCCTATAGCACCACACCAAGACTCCTCCTGATCCATAGGAGAGGGGAAGTCTGCCAGCACCTCTTTGGAAGAAGCATACCTTCACCTCTCTTCCCATCTCTCTGGCTCTCCTCAGCCCCCTAAAATCTAGTCCTGGGCTCTTTACATAAACTGGAAGTTGGTAATATTGGGCTAAAGTATTTTTTATTTATTAAAAATCTTAAAACCCATCCACTGCCATTGAGTCGATTTCCACTCACATCCAGGTGGGGAATGTCCGACCTGCCACAGCAACTGCAGTTCCAGCCAGCACATTATTGTAAGTGTTACGACCCGCCGAGTCAGTTTCAACTCATAGCAACCTTGCATATGGTTTCTGAGGAGAGAATGGTGGGTCTGAACCATCTACCTTGTGGTTCAAACTGACCTTTTGGTCCAGTGCATTATCCTGCAGTGCCATGCCATCACATTGTTGTTGTTGTCAGGTGCCATCGAATTGGAACCGACTCATAGAGACCCCATGCACAGCAGAACGAAACAATGTCCGATCCTGGGCCAACCTCACTACCACTGCCACACTTGAGTCCATCAATGATGCCACCTGGCCAATCACATTAGGAGTGAGCTAATTCAATGTTTGTTTGACCAAATATGTTTTTGTTGTTAAGTACCATGGAGTCGGTTCTGACTCATAGGTGACCAAACATAGCAGGTTAATTTTTAAGTTGATTAATTTTTGTACAGCCGATGAATTAAGTTAGACATTTTGGCAAAAAAAAGGTTCTCTACCCCTGCTATAGAATGCAGTAAAACTCATTCCTGGAGACTGTGAGACTATCAATCTTTACAGGAGCAGACAGCCTCATTTTTCACCCACAAGGAGCCACTAGTGAGTTTGAACTACTGTTCTTCTTGTGGTTAGTAACCCAATGCTTAACCCATTGTATGACCAGGGCTCCATGAAATATTTCAAGTTGGTGAGTTAAACAAACAGAAACTTAATGTCTCACAGTTCATGAGGCAAGAAGTGTGGATTCAGGATGTTGGCTCTGGGGAAGGCGTTCTCTCTCTGTCAGCTATGGAGAAAGCTCCTTGTTTCTTCTAAATTTCTGTTGCTTGGCATCTCTTTCTCCATCTCTGCTTCCTAGCTTGCTTGTTTAATCTCAAAAGAGACTGACTGAATACACACTCCTAATCCTATTGCATTAACACAAAAAGACAATCCATTCCAAAATTTGATTATAATCACAGGCATTGAAGTTAAGGTTTACAATAAATGTTTTTGGGGACAAAATTCAATCCATAACGTTTCACACTCTCATTCCCCTAAATTCATATCCTTGCCACATGAAAAATACATTCACTCCATCATATCATCTCAAAAGTCTTAAATCAATTCCAAGTCCAAAATCTCTTCTTTTGAATCACACAAATATTGGTGAGACTTTTGGTGTATTCCATCATGGGGCAAAATTCCTCTTCATCTGTGAACCTGTGAGATTTAGACTACAAATTATCTGTTACCAAAGTACAGGCAGAGCTGGGGTTACAAACATCCTACTTGTAGGCAATTCCTGTTGTTGTTATTGTTAAGTGTTGTTGAGTCAGTTCCTACTTGCCCTTTAAGTTGATTCTGTCATGGTCAGTGAAACCCAATGGGAAGAAATCCAAAGTTTTACAATTGGGCAGATTCAGCACAGTACCCAGAACAGAAAAAAATTAAGAGTCAAGTCCTTGAAAAGGGAGACTTGGAAGAGGCATAGTAAGCCCTTTGAGGAGCCTCATGTAAAAGACTGGATTATTGGCAGGACTGTAGGGGGACAACACACATTTAAAGCAGTGCAGTCGGCTGCCATGTTTGAGCGGGGTGCCACAGTCTTTGAGTGGGTGGGACAGCATTGCTTTGGACTGTGCTCAAACTTTGAGGGTTCAAAATTTGGTTGCTATATATGTAATGTGTATGCTGCCCTTCATCTGTAAGAGAAAATTAAGTTTCCCAGCAAGGCTTCAAGCTGTAATTTTCCTGTTCCAGCTATCTTCAATTTACCATTAACTTTGAAAATGTGGGTTTGTCTCAGTGTCTCTTTCGGGCAGAACTTGTTCAAAACCCTGACAAATTCTTTAAGATACAGCAAGAACCAATCTCAATCACAACTTGGGGCTGCCTGTATAATGGTAGAACAGGCACATAAATGGGAGAATCCAGAGGGAAAGTCATTTCCACTAAAAATGGGAGAATCTGGAAGGAAAGAAGGGGTAACAGTCATCAAATAAGTCTATGGCCAAGCAGAACAAATTACATAAGCTCTGAAAGCTTGAAAATAATCCAATTTTTTGGAACCATCTGTGCAATGGTCTTGCCCTCCAGACTCTGGGTGTTGGCTATGCTCTAGATTTTGAGTGGAGGCCTCTCTCAGTCTTGGGCTTAAGCTCCGCTTTCGAGGCCCACTTGTATGCCACCGCTCCCCTCTCAGCTTTGGACAGCCCCATTTTCTAAGTTCATCTTCTACAAGTTCTACTTTCTACCAAACATTTGACAATAATTTAGACAAGTTGTCTGCCACTGCATAAAAACATCACTCTTCCTCCAGTGTCCAATCACATGCAATATTTTTGTTTGAAAGCATTACCAGAAGTTTATTAAACATCCACATATCTAGCGACATTCTGCTGCTTGTACCATTTGTAGTATCTAGGACGACAGAGATGTTCCCTACAAGTCTCCTCACTTCGATCTGAACTCTCACCAGAATTGCCTTTGTTGTTCATAATTCTATCAACAGTCACTTCAAGGCAATCTAGTCACGTTCAAAATCTTCTAACCTCTACCCATTACCCAAATGAAAACTGTTCTCATGGTTTAGATATTGGTTGGAACTGCATGCTACTCTTCTAGTTCACATTCTGTCTTAATTCTCTAGTGCCGCTGTAACAGAAATGCCACAAGTGGATAGCTTAACTAACAGAAATTTATTTTCTCACAGTTTAGGAGACCAGAAGTCTAAATTTACGAGGCCAGTTCTAGGGGAAAGTTTTCTCTCTCTATTGTCTCTGGAGGAAAGTCCTTGTCTCTTTTGAGTGTCTGCTCTTGACGACCTTCATGAGGTTTGGCATATGTCTTCTGCCATCTTTGCTCTGTCCTCTTACATATTTAATTTTATATGTCAGAAGAGACTGACTCAAAACACACCCTACACTAATCTTGCCTCATTAACAAGCCATTCCCAAACAACATTGTAACCACAGGCATCTGGTAGGTTTGAACCACCAGCCTTGTGGCTCTAACTGACCATTCAGTCCAGCACATTATCCTACAGTTTTACATGACTCAACCATAGGCAAAGAGGTTAGGATTTACAACACACATGTTTGGGAAACATAATTCAATCCATAACACTAATAATCATGCAGGAGAAAGAGAAGGCTTTCTGCTCCAGTAAAGATTTACAAGCTTGGAAATCCTACTTAGGGTTCCTATGAGTGGGAACTGACTCCACAACACATAACCACTACCACTGTTATCATGTTTATATTTAACAGGAACTTCCTGAAGGCAATGTTTTAAAAACAAAGCAGTGAGTCAGAAGGAATATTTCCTGGGTGGCTTCAATGCTTAAGTGCTCAGTTATAAGTTGAAAGGCTGGCAGTCAAGCCCACCCAAAGGTGTCTCAAAAGACAGACCCAGCAATCTGCTTCTGAAATGTCATAGGCTTGAAAACCCTATGGACCAGTCCTGCTCTCAGTGATTCAATGAACAGTAACAAAAATCTTCCCTTTTAGGTCAGTTTTATGAAATAGGAAACAAAAGGAAAACAGTTATGTATGCAAAACAACCCCACAGTGCACCATAGCAGACAGTTGCAGGGAAGAAGAGGGACAGGAATAACTTTAAGTTGAGGAAATGCTGACTATAACACTATCCAGAAATTAAAATCAAGGCAGAGAAACAACCAATGCAGCCAGTTTTTGCCTGATATAAGTTAAGATGTTACTTTATAATGAGTCACAAATAAATTGGTTAGAAAAAAAGTATGTCCAGAGTTTAGGTGCCACTAGTTTGAAAAGAAAATGCTGACTATGCTGGCCAAGTGTTTTCAATAAAAATTATACTAACGCTGCTAAAGTAACACTCCCGTCTCACCTGAAGTCTGCTGATGTTCTGACTGGCCAGTTTCATCTCTTCTGTCAATGTTTCTTTAGACTTTTCAGCCAAGGCCAGTCTTTTAGAGAGTGCTCGGCACTGTGAAACCAGAAAACATTCCATCACCCAGGAAGCATTTTCCAAAATCAACTTTAAATACTCCAAAAGCATGTGGAAATTACCAAATGATATCATGAATAATCACACTGGAAAGGTGTTTGTGAGGATTGTATCCTTTTACCATACTTACTCGTCAGTATGCTAAACAAATAATCCAAGAAACTAGACTATATGAAAGTATTTCAAAAAGTTCGTGGAAAAATGGAATGGAATTGTCCCACTGTCCCACGAACTTTTAGAGGCTCCCTCATAATGAAGAAGAATGAGGCATTAGGATCGGAAGGTGCATTAACAATATATGATATGCAAATAACATAAACTTGCTTGCTGAAAGCAAAGAGGACTTGAAACATTTACTGTTGAAGACCAAAAACTACAGCTTTCAGTATGGGTTACACCTCTACATAAGAAAAACAAAAATCCACACAACCAGATCAATACATAATATCATGATAAACAGAGAAAAGATAGAAGTTGTCAACGATTACATTGTACTTCATTTTACAATTCGTGCTCTTGGAAGCAGTGATCAGAAAATCAAATGATATACTGTGTTAGGTGCATCTGCTTCAAAAGACCTCTTCAAAGTGTTAAAAAGCCAAGATGTCACTTTGAGGACTAAGGTGAAGCATGCCATGGTATTTTTCAAGCAATATGCATAAGACAGCTGGAGAATAAGTAAGGAAGACTGCAAAACTTATGCCACTGGGCTGTGGTGAAGAGTGCGGAGAATACCATGGACTGCTAGAAGTACAGACAAATACATTTTGGAAGAAGTAAGCCAGAATGTTCCTTATAAGCAAGGATGGTGGTGAAACTGAGTCCCAGGTACTTTGGACAAGTTATCAAGAGGGCCCAATCCTGGGGAAAGGGCATCCTGTTTGGACTGACACAGTGGCAGCAACAATGGGCTCAAACATAACAAAAATTGTGTGGATGGCGCACACTGGTCACAGTTTTGTTTTGGCATAGGGTCACACTCCAAGTTGGGACCCGTTCAACAGCACCTAGTAACAACTATAACAGTTCTATTTGAGGGAAAAGTATCAGAAAACAATCAATAAAGCCAAAAGTCATTCAATCATTCATTTATTCCACAAGCCAGTTATGTACAAGCATTTCATCACAAACTGAAGTCCACATTAAGATGTGGTACCTACCTTGGTGATTTTAATAAGAAAGAAACATAATCTAATATCCTACACTCAACGATTTTCTGGTAACTCTTGCTCAATGACTAGGGTTACAAAGAACATAGGAAGTTTCTATTAATACTCAGGATTTACAGTTGCACACTTTGGTTGAGAAGAGAAGTGGCTATTTCAGAAGTTATCAATGGCTTCTGACCATGTAATATGGACACTAAAACATACTTTTCTTGTGTTTTAAGTCCACTGTTAAAGAATATATTACAGAAGCAATAAAAGCTTTCTAGTCCTGCCTTCTAGATTATGCTCTATCTGCATGGGAAAATCTTAAGAAAATGAATACAAGACTGTAAAGATTTTAGCTGCTTTCTTTGAGGAAGTCTGCCAAATTTACACTAACCAGAAACAGACCATCAAACGACAAAAAGAAATATTCTATTTCATGCTATTATTCTAAAAGGATGTGGGACGAGAAGAATCACTAAGCTTTCTGAGAAGGCCACTAGTCTGATGAAGAGGGTCTACAGAGAAACAGTTAAATGCTGTGTCAACATCAGATGTTCTCATTAATCCTTCCAGCAAAGGCCTACACCACTTCCTGTTTACAGATAAGGAAAAACCAGCACAACTTACAAATTCCTGTGTCACAATTGTGCTGAATATATTTGCTAGGTTAAACAATGCTTCTCTTAGAAATGAAACAACCTCACAAATTCCTTAGTTACTGATTTCATTCCTCACAACAGAATTTTAGGGCAGTTCAGTCAACCAAATCAACCACTCCCTACTAACCAAGCATCCACCATGTGCTCAGCAGGGCTCCTGACAAAGAGGGAGCAAGATCTGCAGGGTGAGGATCCTTGTAAAAATGGCCACCAAGCAATCGAGTCCAGGACACTAACTCAGAAAGCTGACAGATCCAAACAACAAGGGTCCGAATATCTGCTGTACTGTGTGGTTCAGGTGATAGTGTTCCATCTTCCTCCCTTTCTGCACCCCAACAGACTCTGCTATGATTAGTTTATCTACTATGGGTTCAAAGGTTACTTGGTTGAATGGTCAATTGACCTACCAAGTGCTCCATCTTTGCAGTATAGGAGAAAAGCACCGACAAAGGCCCAGTGCAGGGTTGTCTTTTCTTTTAGTATTTCCAAATTATAATTCTCTGTCTGCCATCTAAAACTAACCATTTAAAATACAATTTCAAAGCAGATACATTTAAAGGTATTCTTGTATGTGGAACAATATCTATTTTATCTATCAATTGCTTCTTGCTTTTTGATATCTTGACTTTTTTCCCTTTATTCCCCCTTCCATTCCTGCCATACAATTTTTGGTGATTATCTTGCAGTGTTTTTCTAACTTCTCTAAAGAAAATGAATAATTTGGTGAGGGCAGACAAGAATACAACAAGGAGGAATATTTTATATCTTTTAAAGGCTGACAAAGCTGACATTTTTCATTGTGTCACTTATAGGAACTTGTATTTCTATGTTTGTTATTTGAAAATAGGAGATTTAAAAAGAGAAAGAACGAACCATACATAGGTTTTCTGTGCTATTTAACTTACCTATGTGAGGACTCTGAAAATGCATTGATCTGTTAACTCTTAAGCTGCCCATAACTCTCTGAAACAAGTACTCTTAATAATAATACGTCAAAATCACAGTAAAAGCTGTCTTCTTCCAATTTTTTTTAAAGTTTAATGTGGAAGTGATGAATCCATCCTGCATTAATTAAAATGAAGATTTTTTTGGCTGGTACATAGACCAGTCAATATGAACACTTACCAAATTCGTGTGAATACACGGACAATGGCTTCTCTCTTACTGAACAGAGTAAGACAGCAGCCTAATTCCTTAGGGGGTTTGGCATAAACCACCAAACCTAGCTAGCTCTCCACTCACCTCAGCATAAAAATGCACTGACTTACTGTCAGCCAGCTGCAGTTGAGATGTGAGTTCCACTATCCTTGCCATGTAATGATTTTTAATTAAGTCTTCACGAGATTCCACATCTGGAACCTGACGAGAGCACACAAACATAAATAAATGCCAGTGAGATGAAGGAGTGCTAGAAAAAAAGATTAATCATCACTTTAGAAAAATAAAAACAAGATACTTCTGTATGTTGTCTTGTAATTTGGTATAAGAACATGACAGGGCATTCAAATTTTCACTGAACTTGAGACAGCGTTGTTGTTGTTAAGTGCCATCGAGTTGGTTCCAACCCATAGCGACCCTGTATATAGGGTTTCCAAGGAACAGCTGGTGTGCTTGAATTGCCAACCTTGCAGTTCAAACGGCTTTGCAGTCTGGCGCATTAACTTACAGCACCACACCTGGGGTAGGTACATGCGTATCCCAATTTCTTCCATGAAGTATTTCAGAGTAAAGTTGGGGCTTCAGAGAATGGAGCAGAAGTGAAATGCTGAGAAACCCACTGGGAGCATCACTATTCCTCTATCTTCTCTCAGTCACAAAACTGACTTAAAATCTCCATCTGTCTAACTCATATGTCTACCTCTAGTTGGAAGAAGGTGAGGGAAAGGGAATATTTTACTGAAACCCCTAAAACCTGAACATTCTCCCCTCCCCACCCCCTGAAAATTATCTTAAGACAGAGCTAATGTTCTTAAGCAACAAATTATTTCTATATTGAATATCCTTTTTCCAGACTGCCATGATTACTAGGTATTCTAGCAATGGCAGACTCTTTAATTTTAAAATACATACAGAAATTCAAGTTTACCTAAATTATAAGACCAATAAGGAAATCAAAGATTTTTACCAGTTTACTTGAAATAATTAACTAGCTCGCCATGCTGAGTGGTAAGCTGATGACATTTCAGTTTTCCTTTAATGGCTATTTATAAAATTACACATAATATTTCCAAATTAAGACATGCAAAGCTATCTGACAAGTCATATCTGATCTGGAAGAACTTACTTGAGTACTGGCAAGAACTACTGAGTACACATCTTGTCCAGGCCCTGAGAAGCCCTGCTTTCTCAGCCTGCTCACTGGACTGCAGCCGTGGGGCTGGAGGAGGGCTAACATGGCCCTCAGCCTCCTGCAGCACACCAGTGAGCCAGTGGCCAAGTTCTTGCCACACCTTGTCAAATCACCAAGCCAAGTCATTCAGGGTTATAATTTGTTGGTGACAATTAAAACAGAACCAGAAAGAAAGAATAGCAACAGGAGAAAGCACTGACTCTACATTTCTAAGAATGTCCAGGAAACACAACTGGACAAAGAAGACTCTCGCTGGACTTTGTCAACAAACATGCAGCCAGATCTTTACTAACACACAATGCAATAGTAACATACATTACCTCACTGTCAGATGTCTTGGTTAAAATTCCAATCTGAAACATAAGAGAGAAAAAAAATTTTTAGAATTAGCTGTTTCCATTTCAAACACAATTACTTGATGAGTATTAACTACAAAACAATATGCCTGTAATATGTTCACTTCTCAGTTCACAGTCAGTTTTAAAAAGCATTGGGATTGAAGTACGAGAAGACCACCCTCACATTCTTATAAACTACAAGGAGGTTATACCCATGGATAGGTAACTGCACTGTTTCTGCCATGTGACAGTAATGAATAATGATCTTCACTAGCTATTCTATCACAGTGCTGATGAGATACGTTCACTGAATGAGTTTCCAACAAGTCACCTGGGATGAGAGAGAGAGAAAGATCGTCTCTAGTTCCAGTCTTATTTCTATACCTTTGTCCTAGGCAGTAGCCAAGACAGGGTAAAGACAGTATTACAGTGACTGTAATAACTAAATACTCCAAATGGAAAACATGAATAGTAAATAGTCTGGCTGAAAGCTCAAAAAAAGAAAGAAATACACTTTCAGTGGTATCATATACATATGAGGGGGCTTCAAAAAGTTCATAGAAGTCTCCTTGTATATCATTATAATATATAATATATATATTATAGTAATATATATAATAATTCATTTCAGATGTAAATTAAGAAAATAAAAATATATTTAAAATATGTTTAAGTACAGTAACATTTTTAAAGTTTGCTCCTGTGGATTAAGATTTTAAAGACAGATAGCCTTGAATACTAGATTCAGGTTATTATTCACAGCAGAAGAGCATGTGTTTGGCATAAGGACCTAAGGAACCTACTGGAAGCATGGTTTTGATGGATTCTGCTAATCAGAGAAGACAGCCAATGAACAGCTATCTCAGATTGCCAACAATATTCTCCAAGAGTATGACTGTGAACAGTGAGCAACATACCAACTAATGGTGCTAATGAATGCTATGCTTATCTAGCTATGAAGTAGTCTTTTATATTTTTTGTACTGAAGAGTCACAATTTTTTACTCATTGAAGCAGGAGTAACAATTACCATTTCACCTTCAGTTAAGAACTGCTTACAGTAACACATCAATCTTTTAATTTTATATGGTGGAGGTGGTGGTTGTGTGTTGTGGAGTCAGTTCTGACTCCTATCGACCCTGCATAGAGTTTCTGAGGCTATAAATCTTTACAGGAGTAGAACGCCTCATTTTCTCCTGCAGAATGGCTGGCAATTTTGAACTGCTGACCTTGAGGTTAGCAACCCGACTCATAACCACTATGCTACCAGAGCTCCTTTTAATTTTATATATGTACATGTAACTGGTTTTGGAAAATCCAAATGTCCAGGAGGCAAGGATGTATCCATTCCACCTTCCCCACAATCACTCACCCCCAGTTACAGTTTAAGAGTGAGACAGCACATAGCTTCTCAAAGGAACGATATTATATAAACACAGATGGAAAAGTTTAACACATGGAATTCCAATATTTTCTAACATGCTGCTAAAATAATATTAAGTGATAGAGCTCTAATTTCACAATAAAGATCAAAGAACTTAAAAATATGCAATCCAACAATTCTTTCAATCCAAAGACTATAACCAGAGAATGTGAAAGGGCTTCAAAGAGTTTGTGGAAAAATTCTACTAGATTTTATTCCATTTTCTCACACACTTTCTGAAGCCCCCTCATATATCCCAAGAATATCATCTAAAGAGCAGAATGAATCTAATGCAAAAAATGAAATGTTCTGATGCTAATTAAATAGCAAAAATTTTGATGTCCAATTATAGGTAAGCTAAGATGTTGTTGTTGTTGTTGTTGTTGTTAAGTGCTGTCGAGTCAGTTCCGACCCATAGCGACCCTGTACAGGGTTTCCGAGGGTGTAAATCCTTACGGGAGTAGAAAGCCTCATCTTTCTCCCGCGGAGCGGCTGGTAGTTTCGAACCGCTGACCTTAAGGTTCGCAGCCCGATTAGTAACCACTATGCTACGAGAGCTCCTTTACATCCAGAATATATTATTAGACAAAGTGCCAGAAAATGAGCCCCAGGTTAGAAGGCACTCAAAACACGACACGGAAAGAGCTGCCTCTTCAAAATAGAGTGGACAGTGATGATGTAAATGCAGTAAAGCATTCAGGACCTTCATTTACTAGTGGAACACAACTCAAAATGAGGAGAAATAGCTGTAAATACCCATTAATAACTGGAACATGGAATGTATGATGTATGAGTCTAGGGAAACAGGAAGTTGTCAAAAAATGAAATGGAATGCAAAACATCGATATCCTAGGAATTAGTGAACTGAAACGAACTGGTATTGGTCATTTAGAGTCTGACAATCACATGATTTACTATGTCGGCAGTGACAAATTGAAGAGGAATTGTGTTACATTCATCATCAAAAAGAACATTTCAAGATCTATTTAAGATAGGAAAATATTCATATGCCAACAAGAAAGATAAGTTAATACAACTTTATTCAAATTTATGCGCCAACCACTGAAGCCAGTGATGACAAAATCGGAAAATTCTACCAACTTCTTCAGTCTGAAACTAATAAAAAATACAATCAAGATGCATTAATAATTACTGGCAATTGGAATGCAGAGGTTTGGAAACAAAGAAGAAGAATTAATCATTGGAAAATATGGCCTTGGTGATAGAAATGATGCTGAAGATCGCATGACAGAATTTTGCAAGACCAATTACTTCTTCACTGCAAATACTGTTTTTAAACAACATAAAAGATGACTATACACATGAAGCTCACCAGAAAGATAAGGATAAGATTCTTATGATTCAATAGTCATAATGACTGATCGTGAATGTCACAACTATAAAGATAGAGGTTTTGTAGCAAAAAGAGGGGAGTAGTTAGTCTTACAAATTCCAGGAACAAAGAACCCTAGGACCATCAAGGGAGAAGAGCATGAGTGGGATGTGGGACCCTATCCAGAGAAGCAGCAACACCGGGCACGGAGGCAGAGATGATGACATGGAGCAGCTGAGGACTTCAGACTCATGGAAGGCGAGGGGCTGTGTGCTGGCAGCCAGGGGGCAGGCTTGCAGAGTGTGCCCTATGGATGTCTGGATGATTGTATAGTGTATATTCCTGGTGTACATTAAAAAAAACACACCAAAAAAACAAGTACTGTGGAATGATGATGCATGGAGGGGATTGCAATCCTTGCAATCAAACAAAATACAATAGGATGAATGTAAAATTGATGTTCTCCATCGTAAATTATCACTCAATTAACAATAAGAACTTAAAAAAAAACAAAATAAAAAACATGGACCTTACCAGACGGAAAACACAGAAATCAAAATGACTACATTAGTAGAGAGAGACGGTGGTAAAGCTCCATATCATCAGTCAAAACAAGCAAAGTGGCAGACTGTGGAATAGACAATCAGTTGCTCATATACAAGCTGAGGCTGAAACAAATGAAAACAAGTCCATGAGATCCAAAACATGACCTTAAACACATCCCACCTTAATTTAGAGATCATCTCAAGAAAATATTTGATACATCAGACATGAATGACCAAAGACCAGAAGAGTTATGGGATGATCTCAAGAACATCATACAAGAAGAAAGCAAAAGGTCATTAAGAATAAAGAAAAAAAAAAAGACCAACATGGATGGCTGAAGAGACTCTGAAACTTGCTCTCCAGTGTAGAGATGCTAAAGCACATGAAGAAAATGAGGAAGTTAACAGAGACAAATAAAAAAATTTTTCAAAGGGAGAGAACAAACAAGATGGCAGATAGGGTGGAAGTGCAGTAAATGAGCTCCGCCAGCAACAACACAGAATACCTGACAAAGCAGGCTCAGGGGATGATCCCAGAACTCTGAACCACATATAAAG